ATAAATACTCATAAATCTAGTGACTTGTATTAATGACGTGGTTGTATTATTACTCGAATTTAAATCTGATATAATTCATGTGTCGACAAGAAAAAATCCAATCAAAATCTATTGAAATTTAATTTCCCATCGGATTCTTCGAATGTCATTTAGAATCATGATTTAAAAAAAAAAATTAAAAAACATATGTGCAAAGTGTGAAACTTCAATGGATTGCTGATTGAGATTATGGAAAAGAGAACAAAGTTGTTTAAACTTTGCTTTGATGAACTGATTCGTCACAGTAAACTACTTTAATGGATTGCTGATTAATTGAGATTATGGAAAAAAAAAAACAAAGTTGCATCAACTTTGCTTTAATGGACTGATTCGTCACTAGAATTAATTTTCGACGTATTATCTTATGGTTTCACTTAAAATATGGCATTATAGGATGTTAAAGATGATGTAGTGGATGATGACCGTACTCTCACGATTATGAATTCCATTTTTTTTTTTGATTCGTTACAAATATTTTATTAAGCTAGACTAGTATGAGTGCACATCCTATCATAAGATACACACAAACAAACTCTGTTTATTAATATATCGTTTTGATTTTTCCAGTCCAATTCGGATCGGAGAATTTATAGAGCTTGACTATAAACCTCACAACATGTTAAGTCTAAATCATCACAATATAGTAGTTATAAACCTGTTGGACCGGCTAAAATGTAAATTGCAAACAAATCTAAAAAACCTCCATTGAAACTTCATGCAAGAACAAATAAAGATAGAGAGACAATATTGTGAGAACGGTACGGACCATTACGGCCATCTCCCTCAGACACACTCCCCGAGGAGGAGCCGCCGTCAACAGTAACAATGCATCACCTCCGATGCTCTTTAGCACCGCTCCTCCTCCTCTTGGAGTTCTCGACGTGCTGAAGATTGGACCTCAACCGCCTATCTCTGCCGGAACTGTTGCTGTCGACGAGACTCGTCTCGAGGTGGTCCAAGGTTCGTAGTGCTAAAACGATGGTGGCGCTTTCCTTCCTCCCGACGTCTGCGGGTACGGACCTGGCGACGCTGAACTCCTGTCGCCCACCGGAACCCCCTGAACCACCTGACCCGCCGGATACACTCCTCCCATCTCCACCATCACTCGCCATTCTTGTCTCATGGAGGCTCTCGTCTCCTACTCCGGTATTGGCCACCGGTTCTCCACTGTGGAGTTTGTCTCTTGCCGGGAAAGGTCAATCGATCCACATCCTACCCATCCTCCACCACTGTCGGACTAAGCCGATGTCCTCCCTAGATCGGACCGGCTCCAAATCGGAAAGCGCCCGATGTCGGATATCACCCCCTGATTCGGTCTCCCTTCGACTCCGGGCTCGAGACTCTGTGTCTCATCTCCTTGCTCGAAGGCTAAGGAGGCCAACTTCCTCTCCCCCGCCGCGAACTCAGATCCCTGTCCCCTCAATTCAGATCCAAGATCCCCGACCTAGCACGGGTTTTGACGAGTCTCGGAAGCCCAGCATCCCGGCTCCCATCCCTGCGACGGCTCACTCCGAACACCCACCGGCGATGGCCCTAACACACGCAGCCGTAACCTACTCTCTCCTCTACACCAAGAACAACTGGGCCTTGGACTATCAAAGGAATGGGCATGTAAGCCCAAGAGTATATTTCCCCAAAGGCCCATGCAAGAAGCAAACTCTCGAGCAGATCATGATTATTCAGGTATTGGGCCTGGCCCATGTGCTTAATATGGGGCTGAAAACAGTTTTCACCTCAAGTTTTTTTTCATCATATATCTACTCTTACGAGAGAAAACTAAAGTTTTATGATTCTCAAATCCTATAGTTTTTATCAGTTTTATCTCTTCTATTAAGAGAAGACAAAAGTTTTATGGATTCTCAAATCATGTAGGTTTTATCGATTTTATCTCCTCTATTGAGAAAAGACAAAAGTTTTATGAATTCTCAAATCCTCTAATTTACTTCCAGTGGAAGAGTTCATTTCCCCATTCTTCCATCTTCTTTGTGAGACTGGTCGTATTTTATTCCCTCTCTTAGAGAATGGTCGAATTCCCGAGTTACATGCCGGGATTTTCAAAGTCACAATGGAAAGTGACTACCCTAAGACTCTCCGACCTTGCCGCGAAGACCCTCTTAACGCATCCGAGACATGTTTGGGATCCGCTGTCCATCTTCTACGAAAATCTATCTGCTTTATGTTTTTTCGCATATCATTTATGTTGTATTAATATCGGAACCTGTAATTCCCCTTTTGTACTCTGATCGTTTAAATTAATGAAAAACTTGTTGACAAAAAAAAAAAAACCTGTTGGACCGGCTAAACTCTTTGAATGCTCATAGAAGTTTAGAAAGGCATAACTGTTTAATTTGTTGGAGTTAGATAACAATCATACCAATTACCAAATCATCATATTGATAGAATACTTGAAGTTGAAGACTTTTTATCTTCCATTAGATTAACTCAAGGTCTCAAGCAAACAAGTTTTGAAAACTTTTTGCAAGAGAACCAGCGAACATATTGGGTTTTTAGGAACCAAAAAGAAATAGTATATTGGGTATATTTCTTTTAATCTAGTGGATAGACCAAGGATATTGTGTATCATCATCATTCATATATAAATCTGATATAACTTATATGTGTTGATGATAAAAACCGTTTTTAGTCCATCAAAATCTGTTGAAATTTATTTTCCAACTCATCTTCATGCAAGGATATGCTTTAAAATGATTATAGATCACACCAAATGGATGGGCTTAGGTTCTCACTTATAAAGCTTTCTTAGTCGTGATCTTCACACGGTAGCTCGATCCATAGATTGATCATACCTTGACCTTATACTAACGTTTCGAAACATTTCAGTTTTAGCTATTTTCATACTGTAACTCGATCCGGAGATTGATCATATCTTATATTAACGTTTCAAAACATTATGCAGCAAAATCTCAAAGCATTTTGAAGAAATTTTGCAGAGAAGTACAAGGACCACTAAGCTACATAATGAGATTATTAAAATTTGGAAGAAATATGG